CTATACTACAGAATATGACCTTTCTAATAATGTATCAGATTGGTACAATATATAACATCATAATAGAATTTTTGGAAAGTAAAATTTATGACACTATGGGAAGTAGCATGCTTTTAGATCAGACAGACTGATTAACCTCAAATGTTCTATTAAGAAAGTATTATCCTATGCCACCTTGGAATAAAATGAGTTTATGTTTTAAATGGGAAAAATAATATTCTATATCAGGATCTTTCCCTTTCTCTTGGCCTTCTCTGCCTGTAATGCTCTCCCCTCAGAGATCCCCCTCTGAACTTCTTCCTTGAATGTCACCACTTGGTGAAGCCTTTATCTAATCCTTCCTGTTTCCTTTCTTATAGTCTAGCATTCTCCCAGGTGAACTGAAGCAATCCTTTACTAAAGCACTGCCACCTGGTGTCCTAAAATAGTTTGGCATTTATCATGAACTTGCCTTCTTCCAGTGTTCCCGGGTTAATATGTGAAGCCCAGTTGCATGCTGTAGGAATTATCTCCTTGAACTAAAGTCAGTTAACTTCCCATCTCAGTAATTATGCAAAAAGTGATTTAAAAGGACAGCTTGGGTTTTGATCTATCAGCTTGCCAGATGTGACAATGAAAAAACAGGTTTCTCTCTATGTGAAATTGTGTCCATTGCTCTTTTACTCTAATATTAAAATATTCTGAGAAGTAGGAACAAAAGTCAGTGATGTGAAGAAATAAGCCACTGTATGGAAAAGGGCTTGGTATACTCTATGATATGACACCTGGACTCCCAATATAGCATATAATGTTATGATTTCCCATTAATAATAAAAAGCATGATAGATATTTGTAAGTATACATCAAAACTACTATGCAAATTGCAAAATACATTTTAGAAAAATATTGAGGGTTTTGCTCTATTGCAGTTTCAAATTCTTTCTGACCCCCAGCAGTCTATAGATTGACCAAATCTGGCTGAGTACCTAAAATAGGGAGGTTATTCTACCAGGTTGTTTAGATATAAGTTCTCATTTGATTCTTATTGCACCATTTCAAGGTTGGAAACATCCTCCCATGGGGAACAGTGTAGGAAAGTGCTTGAGACCATACACTTGGGTGTATTTCAAGATCTGACAATCATTAGCTGAGTGATCTTGGGCCAATCAACCAGTAATTTTAATTCCTGAGTTTCCTCATCCTCACAATGTGAATATTGGTGGTATCTATCACAAAGAGTCATTGTGAGAAGTAAATATGTTGATGAATGTCAATGCCCAGTGCCACACAGAAGGCCCCTAGTAACGTACAGGAAAGGAAATTGAGTGTGTGAGAGGCCAAGTACTTCGATGGTGTCACACAGGCAAGTGTCAGAGTGGAGCCTTCTCTTCATATATTTCTTCACTCTAGGAGTAACTCTCCAACTCAGTACAGTATTATGTTATCTTTATAGTGCCTATCACTATGATTTGAAAAAAAATGTATTTAATTTCTTCTCTTCTCATTGCATTGTAAGCCCTTTTCCATCCTTATCACTTCTGCATCCTCCATTCCCAAAACAATGCCCAGCACACAGAAGATACTATTAACAATATCAATATTGTTGTTAAACAAATGCAAAAGATAAAATGATGTCTGCAGTCTTTGCATTCAAACAATAATACAAAAAAATGAGCTGGACTTAATCCTCGTGTGTATCTAGAACTGTCGAGATTCATACCCTACAAGGCATTCAGTGCAAGATTTAAATATACTGGTAATAAATAGTTAAACATCTGGTTTATCTGCATTTCTTTCTTTAACTATACTTTAATGGAACTAATAAATAATCTTACTATGACTTTTCCGCCAGTTAGTTTCTGGGTATTAAGAGGGAATTAATTTTGAGTTTTTTTTTTTTTTTTCCCCGATAATGCATGTTTCTTGTTCTACATGTTACAAAAGCTTTTTGAGGAGCCAGCAGATGGCAAAGCGATTACATTGCTAAACTCCCACATGGTCAATTGTGGTTCGAGTCTCAGGCCTGGTGGCTTGAAACTCACACCAGCTGCATGTGCATGCGTATTCAAGATCCTAGGAAGAGAATAAAGGAGAAGGGATTGCAGGTGGCCATCCTCCTTGGGGAGGGCGGGGTTAGGTCTCACTTTCTCTTTCACTGTTTCTGTCTCTCTCTTTCCAGTGAGTACATGATATACCCTAAGGCCAAAACTTTTTTAAAAAAAGAGAGAGAGAGAGAAAAAAAGTTTAGTGACAGCCCTATGCTTCTATGTATACATATGAATATGTATATATTTTTGCTTTTAAAAATTACTCACACTCACATATATATTATTATTCCTTTCTCAAGAGGGTATATACAGGCCTACTATTTGCTCAAAATGAAGAAAATGAATTACCTCTTTCCATGTACTATCTCTGTGAGTACATTTAAAATCCTCCATTGATACATTAACGTGCAAGGAATGATGATGAAGTATTAACAGCTAAATTATTCTTTGGGGAGGAAAGAAACTGGGGTCCTACATACTTCTAGAAAGTAAATGTCATTTTTGTTTTTCTTTTCACACAAGCTGTATCTGGTGGTTAATGGGCTTGGCCCTTACTTCAAGTGAAGTGTGTGGCGACAGCTTACAGGATTCTGCCTTGTTCATTAGTGCAGTGCTCCCGCCTGTCAGAAGATTCCCTTCCTGGTGTGGACACTATCCCTCCCATATGCCCATATGTGGGTAAATTTATCAGTGGGTCAGTATTCTCATCAGTCACTGGCTCCATGGGAAGTGAGCTTTCTGAATGTTATGGTCATGACCACGCTCCCCTATCACTGAGTCATCGGAAGACTGCCTGTGATCTGAAGAAAAAGAACAACTGAACTTCAATTGCCTTCTAGCAGCCGATTCCTAACCTTATCCTCACACTTCTAAATTAGAGACATTGATGAGGATTTTCAGGATTTTATTAACCATAATTGTATCTCCTAGACTGGGGACAAGCTGAAAGTTAGCCATGAAGAAGCCGTCCAATCCTGTTCTATTTTTTACAACAGGATTTTAGTGTGAACAGAATAGTGTGGAAGGTATTGTTCCTTAGCTTCAGCACCTACCCCATGCTGTTTCTTTGCTTGTGTTAGTCGTCCACTGGAAAGAGATATTGAAGCCAAGACATACTACCAACTTTCCAGAGATAAAATTTATATTCAGAAATTGTTAATCCATGCTATGTTGTATTTTATTTTTTTTTTTTGGTTCCAGAGAGACAGAGAAAGGGAAAAAGAGAAATCACCCCCCAGGGGAAAGGGTCATGCCACAA